AACATTAAAGGATTGATGTAACATTTTCAATTCTGAAAGGCTATTCTGCTCTAGGAATATGCTTGTTACTATTTTTTCATTTCTAAGAATTCTATTTGGCTAAAATACCAAAAAAGAAAAAAAAAAACTTGGCTTAAATAAATGAAAAATCCTCTCCAAAACTGATTTTGGTTCTTCAAAAGCTCCTTTTCAAAAGGAAGAATAGGACGTTTTCTAATATCACATGTCAAAAATGCCTTTAAAAAAATTATCCTCACACTTGTAAATAAGAATGGATAATATTTTGGTATTAGGGGCAGGTTGTTTAATGGCATATATTATTTGTAGTATACAATGTAAACATGTGTACATATATAACATACTTTTTTTTCTATTCATTCTTTAATTTGCATCAGTAAGTTGAAATAGAGAATTTTAGTTTGAGATTTGCTGCTTTTTTTTTTTTGCATGATACCATTACCCAACCTTGAGTTTTGTTTTTTTTTTTTGTTTTGTTTTTTGCATATAAACTTATGACAAAAGTTGAACAATCATTGGATAATTTAAGACATTAGTCAACAACATGTATTGATTGTGACTTAGAAAGACTTGAAAAACACATCACTCTATAAGTTGACCCTTGCCTGTTTTGCACAGTGAAGAACCTTAATGGAATTTCCTGCTTTCCTGTCCTGAACCTTGGGTTCCATTAAAAGTCCACCCCTCCAGCTGGTAGATGAGTGGGGAAACTCACAGTGGCTGAGGCTGAGGTGAAAGTGCAGACTCCAGTTTACCTGTAGTTTTCCCTGGTGCCTGCTCCATGGGCTGCAAGCTGGTCCAGCTACCACTGCTGATCATCGCCAGGAGGCCCTACCTGTCGTCTTACATTCCTGAGAGATGGTACTCGGAAGCATCCTAAATGCCTAGTGACAGAACCTCAGGAAGGAAACAGATACTGCAGTTTTCACTACAGCTTCAGTGTTTCCCAGTATAGAAGGTGCTTATCTTGAAGTGCCCTCTGCAGACTGTCTGCACAGTTGGTTTGGTGATGCTGTGGCTGGAGCCTATCTGAGAGTGTTTGTTGGTTAGAACAGGCAGAAGTGTCTGTGAGCAGCAGTTGTAGCCCGTGCCCATTATGTGCAAGGCCCTGGGTTCCACCTCAGCACCCAAGTAATAATAACAACAATAAAATAAAGGGATTCATGAGCAAGAGTAGCTTCGATTAGGAAAACGAGTAGGCTGCTTTTTTCCAATTGCAATTGCCTATGTACAGAACACAGTACCATAATAGATCCCAGACTTAAATTTTTCAGTTTTATTGAGGTATAATGGACAAATAAAATTGTGTACACTTAAAGTGTACAAGGTGGCGTGCATGCACACATGCATATTTGTGTTGTGAAATGTTTACTGCAATCAATTAACACATTTATCACCTCACAGTTAGCTTTCTGTGTTGTTGGTGGTGAAAACAATTAAGATCGTCTGGTAGTAACTCAAGTGTGTAATACATTGTTATTAACTTAGTTATCATGTGTGTATTCAATCCCCAAAGTTTTAAAATACAGTCCTGATTATAACCAGTGCAGATTTTTTTTTTTTAAAAGCACATGAAAGATTGCCATTATGCCGTTGGGCAGCAATTTAATGTCAAGTTTAAAAGCATGGGTTCTTTTGCGGGGGAGTTGGGGTTGGGGATACTGGGAATTGAACCTGACAACTGAACCACATCCCCAGACCTATTTTGTATTTATTTAGCGACAGGGTTTCAGTGAGTTGCTTAGCGCCTCGCTTTTGCTGAGGCTGGCTTTGAACCCCAGATCCTCCTGCCTCAGCCTCCTGAGCTGCTGGGATGACAGGAATAAGCATAGGTTCCTGAGGCTAACTTCCTGAGTTTGAATAGAAATCTACCACCAAACAGCTGTGTAATGCCGACCAAATTGTTGGAAAATCTTAGTTCACATAAGATTTTCCAACAAGGAGAGCCATTATCCTCAACACCATTCTCAGGGTGTTCAGTTCATTACTTGGGAGAAATTTTCCAGTATTTGTTTTATTCCTAGGGCCTTCCTTAAACTCAGCTGATGAATTCATACTCAGTCAGGGAAGGTGACACGTGTCAGTGAGCTCAGTGAGAAAGACCAGAAGAGCCCTAGGAACACGAGGAGAGGGCTCTGTGATCTGGGGAAGGAGGACCCAGGTCTTGTTGTAGCACAGCTGCACCCTGCCAGGGGTCCACCTGGATAGAGAAGCAAGGCCTTCTAAATAGGAGGCTGTGACTCGTGGAGAGGGGAGAGGGTAGGGTGTGTTTGAAGAAAGCTGTGGATCAGTTTGGGGCCTGTGCAATGTGGAGGTGGAATAATGAGAAATGTGGAGGAAAGATAGGTCGATTCAATATTGCAGTTGTCTGGGTGACTTGGTTCCTGAAACACGAGTTCCCCCTGGACCCCAAAATCTGCTGGTGCATCCTGTTTGCATTTAATCTATGCATCCTCCTGTATACCTTAAGTGTCTCTAGGTTACTTATAGTACCTAACAACAATGCAAAGAGTTGATATACTGTATTTTTTAAAGAGTATGGTGACAAGAAAATATGGTGTTCATGTTCAGAACAGATAAGTTTCTCTGTCTATACACCACACACACACATGCACACACACATTTTTGTACCAGGAATTGAACCCAGAGGCATTTAACCATGAGCCACATCCTTAGTCCTTTTTATTTTTATTCTGAGATAGGGTCTCGCTAAGTTGCTTGGGACCTTGCTGGCTAAGGCTGGCTTTGAACTTGTGGTCTTCTTGCCTCAGCTTACTGAGTTTCTGGGATTATTGGTGTGCACCACCACACCTGACTGTCTACCAACAGGTTTTGATTCATGATTGAGGGAAACTTAGACACTAGAACCCACAGATATGCAGGGCCTACTGTAACGCGAATGATTAATGCAAGCCATTAATTGGGTGACTTCTATGCACCAGATTCTGTAGCTGGTACCTTATATAAATTTTCTCATCACAGTCCTCTGTAATATAGCTGTCCCTGTGTTGCAGAAAAGCAATTGAGTTAATCCTGTAGCAAGGGTTGGGATTTTTTTTAGATGGTAGAAAGCCTGCACAGGTTTTGGTATGGGAAAAGGTTATGATCAGGAAGGATGATTGATTTCCCTGCTTGCTGTAAGTTCCCTGGAGTTAGAGATACATCCTGTTCTCCTCTGGGTTCTCCTGAGACCATCCCCTGGACTGTGGGCATGGTGGATACTTCATAAATCCCGGTGGAGTCAGTTTTCGAAGCTTCTTCAACATAACTTTGGAAACGCTCTTGTACATTTTCCTTTTTAAAAGGGAAATTAACCAATTAATTTATTAAGTGACTCTTTTTAGCTTCTACCTGTTTCATCTCCTTTGTCCTCACAAGGCATCTTAAAGTGTAACCTTTACCTTTAAATTTTGTTATGATAATGGAATAGATGATTGGGATTGATGAATATGACCTAGCGAGGATTCCATCCCCGACCTCTGGGTTGGGGGCATGGCTTGGTGGTAGAGTTATTTTATAAGGTCATGGGTTCCATCCCCAACACTGAAGAAGAGGAGGAAGAGGAAGAGGAGGAGGAGGAGGAGGAGGAGGAGGAGGAACATGAACATCTGGCCCCTAGCCTGCACTCTGCCTCCCCACACCTCTACTGAAGCACTGCTGTTTCCCAGTCTCCACGGGTTGTTCCTTCCGCTGACTCAAGTCCACTTTGCTAAGCAAGCACCCTGTTGCTTTCAAGGAAACGAAAGCCCCACAAGGACCTAATCTACTTTGCAGAGGTTGATGGGAAAGAAATCATTTTCAGCTGTCCCCAGGACCAGCATTCTGCTAAATGACTCTGCTGGCAGGTGGCCATTTGGAGAAGCCCATCACACCAGCCACTCCTTGGAGCCCAGCATCCTGAGGTGGGCGGGCCTGCAAAGTGAACTTGCCCTTCACAGTAAATAGAATTGGAGAGTGAGTCCATAAGCAGGAGCCCTAGGTATTTAAGGCAAGCACTTTGCTTCTGGTTGAGCCCAAGTTTATTATGGTACTAAAAGGCACCTAGCAACAGGCAAACAGTGTTTGCTTCCTAGGGCTGCCTGGAATTTGGAATGACATTTCATGAAAGGGGAAGTTCAATTCCAGCTATCAAAGGTCGTGGCCAGTGAGGCCACTGACATGCATTATGTAAATTCTTCCCAAATCTGTATTTATTAACTTGACAAATTTTGGAGTAGTTAATCTGCCCTGTGACATTGATCTGCTGTAAGATTCTCTAAACTATCACATCCACTTACTGCAGGTGAGTCAGGAGTGGGAAATATTTGGCACCCCTTGTTGGTGTCAATTTTCAGAGGCTTCGCTCACCTGCCGCTGTGCCCAGCTCTGCAGGTCTGGACATGGGGAAGGGCCACATTAGTGTCATCCCTGGCCTTTCCTGGTATTGCTTTCATCCTTTTGGGAGGGTCAGTGAACCAAAAGCACTCAGTCTCAGGGACCCAGCAGTCAGACACCTCGTTTGGAAAATGTCCTTAATACAGACCTTCAAAATATATATTTATGAGTCAAACTGGGGTAAATATATATTTGTCCCTTGGTATCTGTGGGACATTGGTTCCAGGACCCCTCCAAGGAAATCGTAATTCCTTCAATCTCAAGTCCCTTACATAAAATGGTGTGCGATTTATGTCACCTCTAGCTCAGGGCTAGTGTCTAATACAATGCCAACCCTGCATAAATAGTTGTTATCCATATTGTTTAGGGAATACTGGTAAAAAAAAAAAACTTGGTACATGTGCACATTTCTTTTTTAGTACAGGTGCACATTTTTCTCCCATATGTTCTATCTGCTGTTGGTGGACGGTGTAGATGTAGAACCTATGGATGCGGAGGGCCGACTGTATGCCTGTGTGTGTATACATTTCATGATAGATGTATGAGCAATTCAGTGGCATTATTTACATTCCTATAGTTGTGCATCCATTACCTACTATCCACTTCTAGAATTTTCTCATCATCCCCAAGAGAAGCTCAGTACCCATTGGATATTAACCCCTTATTCCTCCCTCTCAGCCCTTTCTCTCTGAGTTTGTCTATTTTACATACTGCTCAGAGTCATAGAATATTTGTCATTTTGTGCTTGGTTCTTAGTTTTTGATACAGCATTTCAAATGTGTAATCATTGGTCATCAATACTTTATTGTATTGACAATTACTGATAAGGTGTAATTCTCATTCTAATTTAAGAAACTGTACTCTGTTAGAATATAGATAAAGAGAAGACCGGTTGTTTTTGTTTTTTCGTTTTGTTTTTATTTTTCCTTGTTAATAAAATAACAAGACAAAGAAAATAATATTTGTCAAACAAAAGCTCAAACTACATCTGATAGCCTTCATGTTCCTCTCTGGGCGTAGTTTGGTCTGAATTTTTTTGCAGAATTTCCTCCAGCAGCCTCTCATTTCTGTAACACCTGCCAGGAAGACTTCGGAATTTTGCAGATACCATCTTTGGAATGATGTAAATTTACTCTTCTTCCTGTTCATTTTAAAATTGATCCTTCTGTCTACCTGCTTCTGCCCAACAACAGTCGGTGGCATGCAATGCCTATTGTTGGAAAATGAGAGAATCCTAGCCCTGCACTTGGGATGTTATTCAAAGCAGAAGTCTTCCCTGCTGCACAGAAGCAGAAGCATTGTAATTTCACCACAGCCAAAAGAACTGTAGTAGAGGTGAACATAATTCCTCTTCTATTTACATCTTTAATGAGTCACAATTAAAAGTAGTGAGTTGGCGTGTCAGAGTGAATGTGTTATTTTCAGATTTCTATGATAGCAAGTGCTGCTGATGGTTGAAACGGCACTTCACAGGAACCCAGAGCTCCAAAACCCCCAAGAAAGCAAGCCCAGAAGGTCTGAGCTACTTCCTGAGCGCTAATGGGTCAGTCATAGCTTTTCGCAGTCTTAAGGCCTCAGATTCTCCCATCTTCTTGAACACACATCATTTTCTTCTGGCAAAAGATAGTAGGGATGGTTTTGAATTTGGGGTGCACAGAGTTTTTCTTTCTTCTCCTTTCCGGAGTCACAGTGAAGATGTCCTGGGCACTCTCCCCACGTTGGATTCACTGTATGGGGTGCAGGCGCAGGACGCCCTGTTGGAGAGGGACTGTCCCTTCACCTTGACAAGTTTCGGGGTGCGGTTCCCTCACCGCTGCCTCTGCATTTCGTTGCAGTCTCTGACTTCAGTTGCTCCGTGGTGCTGATCTGGGGTCTTCTCTCAGGGACCCGCAGATGGGTTTCCACAAATTACGTATGGCTGCCAAGTTTATAACAGTGACAGGTTTTTCTGGCAAGGTGATAAAGCCACGTACTAGAATTCCTGTCACAGCTCATCTGAAAAATAGTGTGTAAACATTTCTATTTAAACTCAGCTAATCTGTGTACTAATGTGCTCCTAATATGTTGTTGGTGAAGAAAACAGGAATGAAATGTCCAGGTCTTGGCCATGTACAGGCGTCAGTGCAGGACTGTGGACACATTATGGACCAGGCAGGCTGATCTTGAAGCTAGTGCTGCCTGAAGACCTTCAGACCCTGGGCCTAATTTTCTGTTGCTAATTTTGTGAATTCTTTTTTTTAATTTCCCCCAACTCATTCCTCTACCCAGCCCAAGCCTAAGGACCCGTAGACTGAACCCACTATGAACCATGCACATGTAGAAGCTGTGCCTAGGCCCATGTTAATCAAATAGGTTTATCCTTTCCTACTAGTACTCGAAACTTCACAAAACTTCCTGTGTCAGCCTACAGCCTAGGAAAGGGTCGGGTGCAACTTCCCTCTGCAAATTTCGTACAAGGAAATGTATACCTTGGACATTTAGCAAATAATAATATCATAACTGATAGTGAGTGTGTCCTAAATTTTCCAAACCAACGATTCACAGTTGTGATTCATGTATTCCTGGGAATCCCCCCACCTGCCTTGCCATTTCCCTGGAGTATGTCCGACTCACTTAAGAGTTTAGTAAAAATGAATGAACTAGGTAGCTTGTCTTGTCTCATGCCACCTCAAGAAAAATTATCTTAATGGCTATTTTGTGCGACTTTTTTTTTTTTTCCTAGCCCAACAAGCTTATTTTCAGGTGATTTTCCCTGCTAAGAACCCACTTGTTACCAGTAACTGATTGGAGAACAGCTGTTGATTTTTAGTGTGCCAAATGGGTCTCTTTCTTTCTTTGTCAAAGAGTTCCTTTATTGTTCCTAGTCTGTTGTTTGGTGTAAAAGCTAATTTAGTTCAGGTTATTTTTTCTTTTTTTTTTAAACGCACCTGGTGTTAAAGCCATAGCGCCTCCCTCACAAACAGCAGCACCATTACGACTCGGGAAGAAAAGACCCTGGGGAAAACATAACTCATTTTCAAAAAGGAATCAAGTGTGTGTTTGTGGAACAAGGTTCTGAATTAATTCCTGATACCATTGATGAGGCATTTAAATTCCACGTTAATCAATAAACCAAGGAGGTGTGACGACGTCACAGACGGAAGGAGGATGAGCTTGTTCCTTCCTTGTGTGGGCAGAAGGTCCCTGTGTGTGATGCAGGTGACTGCAGAGTGGCCATGTATTTTTGTCCCACCGGGCAGTCCTGTCCTTACTGACTTATTGACTTAGCAGCCACATGAAGGGCCAGGAGGAGAGGGAGGCGGGCAGGGTGGTGCAGAATTGGAGGCTAGATTGCTTTGGGAGGAAGCGGGTGCTCACACAGTCTAGGTTTCATTCCCTGCTGGGCCACAGATTTTGTGACCTTGGGAAGGTTACTCATCTCTGGACTCTCAGTCTCCTCCCTTGCAAGAGGGAGGAGATAATCCTTGGAGGTTTCCCTGTAAGCGATGACATTCTGTGTGTCTGAGGAACAAGGGACATCAGACTATCGTGGGACAGGAAAACAGGAAGAGGGACACACAGCATGTGGTAGGCAGTAAAGCACATGGTGGTCAGGAACACAAGGTGGAGATGCCCCCAGGGTAAATTCAGATGTCAGGCTCAGTGGCCAAGGGACTTTTATGGGAGAGGCAAAGTAGAGCTCTGGGAAAACTGACCGGACCTTGGAAATGTCCTGCAAGGAGCTGTATTTCCTTTGCATGGACTATGCCTCTTGCCTTTCCCCAGCTCCGTGAACTTGGCTTTGCTGGCTTTCCCACCTTCCCACCCCGTACCTGCTCACCCTTCCTCTCATTGCATCTTCAAGATGTTTCAAAGGCCCCCAGGCACAGTAGATTTTTCTTTCTCCTTCTGAATCCCCGTTGAAATGATCTCTCTGCAGATTCAGACATATTTATTTATCTTGTCACTGTTCTGCCTAAAGAATCAGATATAGTTGTGTTCTGCTCTTGCCTGAGCTCATACTGCACGCGGGAGCTTTTGTAATCAGCAATCAGCAGCAGAGTTTCAGCGTGCACTGCCTGAACCCTTGCCAAGTTGCTACTTAGTTGTTTAGTCAGTGCCATTGAACCTCTGTCAAACCCTTAGTTTCTGGGCAGTGTATAAGAATAGCCCCACGTCTCAAGAGTTTAATAATCCCATGGCGGAGCCTAATGCAAATGTAAACACAAGTGACTAGATAATAATATTAATACCAATGGCAATGAAAGCAATAGGCATTTTCTGAGTGCTTGCTGTGTACCCAGCTACCATGCTGAGTACTTCGTATGCTCTGAATGTCACACACACACACACACACACACACACACACACAGTGTTTAGTTCTCATGTCAACTCGAGTGAGGAAACTGAGGCCCAGAAAGCTGTGCTCTGTCCAAGGTTACCCATGAGGATCAACTTTTCTACTTTGGAGAAATTCACATGAGCACCAGGTAAGTGCTAAATCTGCCTGATGCCAGGACTGGTAAATTTGGATGGGATTAAGGGAGAAAGTGGTTTAAACTGTTTAGTAAGAAGAGAGAATCATAACTGTGTGAAGAAGACAAAAGAGCCCTTCAGGCAGAAGCTAATCGCTTGCAAAGATTAAGCATAAAGAAGCCCAGCGGCTCCTGGCCCCTAGGTGTGTTCTGCTGCTCGCCTCCAGCAGTGGCACCAGGTGACCAGAATGAAATGCAGGAGGGGCTGTTCTGTTAGCTGCGGAGCCGGCGTTGCTGTAATTAGTAGCAGGTCAACACCTTATGAAATCTCACCGGAGTGTAAAGTCATATTTCTAACAGAAAGGTGTTAGTCTGCAAAGCGAATGAGGCGCGGGCATCCACGTCCTGCCCCGCGGAGCCTGCTCCCTGGGTTGCCTCACCAAGTGACGCGAGCTTCGCACCCTTGCTTGGAGCTGTCGCCGCCTCTGCTCCACTTCCTGTTAATTAGCTCTGAGTCTCGGGTCTGTCATCACTTGAAGCTCCTCAGGACATATTTTGCTCCAGTCTCGCAGACAGCTGGGGGGTTCACCTGTTCCCTACGTCTGCTTGCCCCGCAGCCACACCCAGCACTCTGGCCAGGCAGATGCCTGGGGAAGAGGGGTGGCAGGGTCTGCTGGCAGACAGTCGTGGGTGCTCCAGGCTGCAGATGACTTGACCATGGTCTTGAACTAGGAGCAAACTGGAGAGACCCAGAATTGGGGGTGCTTGGTGAGAAAGAGTGAGATGTGGAATTGAGCGGGTAATGCGATCCCGTTCATTTCAAGGGCTTTTCCTTTCCAAACTGGAAAAGAAAAGCAAAACAACAACACAAAGCGTTGGGAGTGATTTCTCCAGGCCTGTCAATGGCTGGATTGTTTGTCTAATTAATTAATTAACTAATGAATTACTTTGTCTATAACCTCTTTGTTTGGAAGAGTTTCGTGGCAGTGCACCCACCAGGAGAATCTTAGGAAGTAAACAAGTTAGCCTCTCTCTTTTTTAAAAAAAAAAAATCGATAACAAAATGCATATCAATAACATATTCTAAAAGCAAGGATGAAATGTGTTTACACATTTAAGTGTTTTTCCCATTTAAACAAAAATGTGCTTTTCCTTTAAGCTTCACCTTGTCTAGCAATTTCTCCTTTTCCAGTTTCCGTAGAGGCTGGTGTTTGTGAAACTCCAGGGCTGGCATGGAAACTCTTGTTTTTTGGCATTTGCCTTCTTAAAGCTCCAGCAGGGACCTCTGGTCATGGGCAACCCTTGGCCCCTCCCCCACCCCACTAAGGTCCTTCACCTGGGTCCCCTGTGCTGGATTGCAGGGCTCCCGAGGGGCAAAAGTGGTTCTGGGGCATTGCATTCACAACACTGGAATGCAAAGATTCAGTATTTGCCTTTTGCCAACCAACCCCGTGGAAATTCTAGGTACTTAGCCCAGACCTCTTATCTCATCAGGTTCCTGCCCACGTGATCCACCAGTGAGCAGACCGTGCAAGGTCACCTCCCACGGTGGCCAGACTGACTCAGTGCCTTCCCCACTGGGAAATAAAGTGGGGGGCACCTGAGACCAATGATGACGGATCCGACAATCTAGTGAGGTCCTGTGGCTCAGGGGACAGTCTTGCCTTCACCTGGGGATTTCAGAACACTAATTTCAACCATGAAGACTTGAAGAAGGGGGAGTCCTTTAGAAGTGAGGGTCATGAAACCAAGGACCTGGAGGAGGGGGTGGCAAAGTGGGTCCCCAATTGACTTTAGAGCTAAAGGGGGTGTTCAGTGTGACTTCCAGTTGGAGTTGGGACAGATGGGGCCTCTACTAGGATGATTTAACGTTTGAAGGTTATAGGATTTGAATTCTTGATGCCTGTGTGATTTCACTACCTTGCACCATATCGGACATGAGTTTGAATCCTGCCTCCGTCACCTGTGATGGGTGAGACCTGAGCATGTTGATCTAAGCCTCTGCTCTCTCAGGGTCGTCCTTCCAAGCCCCAGTGCCTGGAAAGTGGCCACCACGGTGCCTGACACCCAGAAGTGCCTGATGAGCTGTCCCTGTCGCCCACCAGGAGCCTAGGTGGTCCTGGTGATCATGATGGTAAAAGCTGTGATACACCCATGAAAGAGTCCCCTCCTAATCCAGCGAGAGACATCCTTGAGTTTTCTGCTACAGCAGAAATGCAAATTATTACTGGGTACATTTCTGGCAGACATATGAGCCATTTACATAATGAAACCTCTCTAAGATGATTTCTATTAATAGCCACCCTTCTAAGTACGAATCTGACCATTTTGTATTTGGAATCATTCTCTCTGCGAGCAGATTCCTTTTATTGTCGTGTCTTCTTAATACCTTCTGACAAGTGCCATCGTCTCTTCCCTTCACATCCCAGTGTTTACGGTTTTATGAGTTTCTTACCATGTTTGTTTACTCCCTAAGAACCTCTTTTTTAAATAATGCATCACTTCAGAGTTGGCACCGGGAGGAGGGGTCGTTGCCTGTTTTGTGGGCTGCAGATTCACGCTGAGCGGATGTCCCCCTGGTCAGCCTGGTACTGGAGAACCAGGCTCTCTAACTGGTGGCCATGCTCTCTCCATTTGCATAGGAGTGGTGGCTTCTCGTGGCTTCTCCACAACGGACCCCTTGCGGATGAACCCACCGAGTGCTTCAGCACCTGTCTGTACGCACATTTGGGCCACGTGGGCGTGCCCTCGCTCAGGCCCTTGAGTCTCTGTGGGGATGTGAGACACAGCGTCACGTGGTAGGGCTGACTCTGTGTTGGACCTCGCAACAGCACAGCAACAGGGTTGTGTTCTCCTCCAGGACGGGCTCCCCTTGTGCGCAGGTGGGGATCTTTCCTGCTTACCTTGGGCCTGCAGCAGGAGCATCACCAAGCACAGAGGGGCCAACTGCTTGACGAATGTGCGTGGGGGGCACCTGAGGAGATGCCTCCTGGGGGGAGGATTCTAAGGCCACTTCTAGCTCGCGATTCTGTCCATACAGACACGGCTTAGAGGACAGAAAGGACGCGGCAGACACAGCCACATCTTAGCCTTCGGGATATCTAATAAGTGGTCAGGGTCTTTTTAAACTGCTTTCTCCTTGAAAAGGTCGTAGAGATTCTTGAGTGGGCAATACTGACAAATTTAAAATAATAATAATAATAGTAATAATGGAGCAAAACAATAGGTAAACAAATGTAGGTTTTTATTTTTTTAAGAATTTACTGCATTTCTCTTTTTAGGTATGATTTTATTCATTAGTACTCTTTTTTGGTGGGTGGAGATACTGAGTGGGGACACTCGGCCACTGAGCCACATCCCCAACCCTATTTTGTATTTTTATTTAGAGACGGTCTCGCTGAATTGCTTTGCACTTCACTTTTGCTGAGGCTGGCTTCGAACTCGCAATCCTCCTGCCTCAGCCTCCCGAGCCACTGGATTACAGGTGCACATCCCCACGCATGGCCTCCTTAGTACTCTTTTTTGCCAGTAAGGGAAACCCACTAGAGGCAGCTTCTAAGAAATATAGATTCTGATAAGGACAAAAAAGAAGTCTCTGGGTTTTAGAGAAGGGTACAGTTGAGCATTAGGTTATGGATAACAAAAGCTAAACCAAAGGCCACAGTACCTTGGGGTTTTGGGTCATATTTTCATCAGCTTTCCATGACTATAATAAATAACCTGAGATGATCAAGTTATAAAGAGAGAAGGTTTATTTGGGCTCACAGTTTTGGAGTTTTCCATCCATGATTATTTGGCTCCACTGCTTCTGGGTCTGTGGTAAGGCAGCGCATCATGACAGAACTGGGTGGCAGAGCAAAACTGCTCACCTCATGGTCAGGGAACAAAAGAGGGAAGAGGACCAGAATGGGGTCTCCCTCTAGGATACATCCCCACTGACTAGGAAACCTTCTTCTCAGGCTATACCTCTTAAAGGCTCTAGAGCCTCTCAAAAGGACCATCTGGGGAACAAGACTCTTCTCAGACTTTGGGGGACAGTCCAGATACAAATCATAGCAAGTTGCTTCCAGCCATGGGAAGAGCCAGTTCCCAGACTCATGGATGCTAAGTAGACGTCCAGTGCATAGTGCACAGAGTTTGCACCAAGGGTGTGCAATTGTTTCCTGATCTTTACTTGTGCTGCTATTGATGATCTTGTAGTCATTAGCACTAATGTTGCTGGAGAAAAAAGTTAATTTAGGTGTCTCTTGTTCTGTTGCGGTGGTTTCTATCTGCGGGGCCCAGGAACGTCTGGGCTCAGGAGGAACTGCTCTTTTCTGGGAAGCTGCTAGCATCACACAGAGGGTGGAACCATGCTTCAGATAGTTCTTGTTTGTTCTCCTCCTGCCTTCGACTTGGGGCCCACCAGGTGGCCTCTCCCCGTGCTGGGGTGGTCCAGCGGAACGGAGGGAGGGGCAGCAGGCAGGCGTGCGGTGGTGGGAGATGTGTAGAGGAGGGCCCTGACGGTGATGTGACGGTAGGGGACACCAGGGGGTGGCTGCAGAGGCAGGGAAGTGCTCCGGAGCCTCCTGTAGTGACTGTCGTTAAGGCAAGGCAGAGAGTTCCCCTGCCACATGCCACCTCTGTCATGGACTGCAAGGCCACACTGGGGTCACTGCTTAAAGTCATCCAGTTCCAGGGGCTGGGCTTGTGGCTCAGCGGCAGAGCCCTTGCCTTGCACGCAGGAGGCCCTGGGTTTGATCCTCAGCACCACATGAAAATAAGTAAATAAGACATTGTGTCCACTTCCAACTAAAACAATGTTTAAAAAAAAATGCAGTTCCAGGTTACCTGAGACTGGGAGCGGCTGTGATCCAAACTTTTATATTCAAAGGAGGAAAGAGAACCAGAGAAGTGAAAAATGGCTGGACCGAGAGCTCAGACTGGAACCAGAGGACAGATGGGCTCCTCACGGCTGCCCCGCTCCCTTTCTGCTCTCAACCATGACTTTCTAAGAGCATCATTTATTACGGGGCCAGCTCAGTCCTTAGTGAGGACTTGCGACCAGCGTCCGTTTGCTAGGGCTGCCCTAACAAGGTTCCACAGACTGAGGGGCTATTTTCCTCGGATTCTGGAGGGGAGAAGTGTGAGATGCAGAATCGGCAGGACTGGTTTCTCCTGAGGTCTTTCTCCTGGGCTTGAAGGCCATCTTCTCCTTGGGTCCTCACTGGTCCTTCCTGGGTGTCTGTGGTCTAGTCTCCTCTTTGTGTCAGGACACCAGTCATGTTGGATCCTCACTACCAAGCGACATCTGGCGGGGTCTGATTCCAGCTCTGGCCGGCCCTCCGTATCTCAGATTCTGCAGATTCAACCCTCTGAGGATCGAAGACCGTTGGGAAGAGCGCATCTGCACTCAGTACATACAGACCTTTCATTTTCTCGCCATTCTTCTCTAAACAACAGGTACAACAGCAGCGTGCAGAGCACTTACGTTGTGTTAGGTATTCCGAGGAGTCTGGAGGTGATGTAAAGCCTACGGGAGGGGTGCACATAGCTTAAATGCAAATTCTGTCATTTCGTAACAAAGACGTGCACAGCTGTAGATTTTAGTGTCCACAGGGGCAGGGTTGGAACCAGTCCCCCTGCAGATACACAGGGGACGACTCTACAGTCACATTCTGAGGGACTGAGAATTAGGCTGTCCACATATGAATTTGGAGATGGGGAATTATTCAGCTCAGAACAATATCCGTAAAGTGACTTGATCCATTGATTATGGATGGTTATTGGTGACCCAGTCTGTATGTGACCACTTCTTTCAGTAAGGTTTTCAGCTGTTAATTTTGCTAGACGTCCGGTGCATAGCCGGCAAGTTCACAACTCTACTGCCATGA